TTTTAGTTTTTCCAAATTCAAACCAACGTTTGGCTGCCCGTAGAATTGATTGTAAAAACTGGTTGTTATCACTTCTCACATGACCTTATAAAACGAGTTTCTTAGTATTTTATCTCAGCGTTTCAAAAAACAGTTTGCAAAAAACAAGGGCTCGTATGCAAAAAGTAGAAGAGTTTTGATATGCTAAAGCAATTGTTCAGGAGGTAAACTCCATAACGGGCGTCTAGCTGGTCAATGATGTCAAGGAAATCTTAGATTTTTTCTAGCAACTTAATGTTTTCGTCGTGATTAGTTTCGACAAAGCCCGCCGATTGGTGATCCCAATTGAAAAGCTCTTCATTTGTTTTTGTTTTGATTTTGGGACATAGTTTTCGATATTGAGTTAAAATTGAGTTGTACTGTGTGATTGTTCTCGGTCCCAAAAAACCTAATATTGCTCTTTTTATTGTTTAACTCAAGCCTTGAGTTTGTTCCGATTTTAAATTAATTGTTAAAGTCACGGAGTACTACCTTATAGTCGTCGGCTAAATTTCCACCTCAAAAATACCAGATGGTTTTTTCGATTCTAGCTGATAAAGTTAATCAGCTTAGTATGCGATCTCAGGAATTTAAGTCATGCACTGCCATTCGACTTACTATGAAGATCTCTAAAATTTGAGGAATTTTTTCACCATATATGCTTCTGATCCGTTCTGAAAAGGCACAATCGCTTCACATAGATAGAGTTCGGTTACAAAAAAATAGTTAATTTTGTTTGGGCTGCAAATTTGTCTTGTCGAGGTTGCTGCTCAGACAACAATTTGTCTGATAGTTATCAGTTGAAAAAGGAGCAATTTTGTCATCTGCAACAGCAAGCCTTGTCCCACCTTTATATTTCCTTCTTTGGGCGTACTATTCATTAGCTTTATTCTATGCTCAAGGTCACTCAGAGGCGGGCTTGAAATTTGATGATGGGATTTTGTAACTGAAACGGCACTTTCTCGAGTTTTTTTCAGTTATCAAAGAGCTCATGCTTGTGTTTGTTTGCGTCCACTTCCATTCTTGTGCTCCGAAAAAAAAACAAGAGAGACGATAAAAAATCAGCCTCATTGCAACATCTTCCACATTGTCGAAGATGTCATTAAATTTTTTCGACGGGTCTTCCGCCAAGGAAACAGGCGAGTTTTTTGGTACTTTTTTGAGAACTCGGATAATCCAGATGGCAGCAATAACATAAATGTCTAGCACTAAATCATTACCTATTGTTAATTTATTAACAGATTTTACATAAATGCATTAAGGACATTGACACCATTGGACTTTGTTAGAGTCGCTGAGAGAACCATTTTCACAATTGAAATGATACCAGCCTGAACAACAATCACATGGAATCTAACTTATTAGTCTTGAAGGTTTTAAGCAATCTTTGCTTGTGCATTCTCTATTGTTTTTCTTCATCTTGACGCGGGCGGAGTAAGGGTAAAAAAAATGCTCTTGACTGGACTTTAGTGGACTGAACTAACTCATGATAAGCGGTAAGTGAGAGTTTTATCGATCAACAACAATTGAAACAAATGTAATATTAGAATAGTACTAAAAAGATTAAAAACCAGGAAATATCTCAGGCGAGCCCAGCATGTTTAGCAGCGCACCACCAGACTACCCAAGCCATCCAGTTTCACCAATCACCCCAGAAAGCCACTTGATAAACCTGGTTGTAAAATCTTTCAAAGAACACACGACAAACAGACCGAAACACCAAAAAAAAACATCCACACAATAAGTTTAATAGTCAAGCACACATCAACCCAATAATCAAAGATTATGTTTGAGTATACAAAAATTTTTAAAAGTTTTAAATATTTGTACATGGGCTGAAACTTCTGAGAAAGAGTCTGAAAAACGTTTTAGTACCGGGCTTTTTGAAGATTAGGGTTCCCGAGCTTATGTTTTTTTTTCGGACCAAGCCGTGCCTAACTTTCAACTGAAACTACTAAAGACTGTTTCGTCTAGGGCTAATGAGGAGAGAAAAAAAATGAGGCTATGGTAGTGAAAGCCCAACCACTGGGCGCAGAAAGAAATCAACGAACAGTTGATGGCATCCTTTTTCCGATTTGTCAGGCGTCAAATCGTAGAAAAAATTTGACAAAATGTCAGAGAGACAAGATCAACCGCTTGGGGGAAAGAAGGAGCGATCAAATAAGTTTCTTGATAACATTGAAGTGATCAGACGGGAATATGAAATGCTGTCAATGGGTCCAAAGCATCCATTTAGAGACAAATTTAATTGAATGCACATTCTGGCTGATACAGATTTTTTCTCTCAAAATTTAAAAACAAAGTAAAAATTATCGGGTGAAAATTGATGTTAAAAAGAAGCCGTGGGAAAGGCATACGCAAAAACAGCAATGCAAAACCCTAGAGACAAAGCCGAGGAAAAAACGAGGAAATAATTCAAAGAAATTATCTCAAAGCCCCCGGGTTGCTGCTTGTGCTTTTTTTAAGGGGATTGGTTTTTGCATAATAAGGAAACAAACTTGTGAATTAAAACTGGAATCTGTGTTGCAATCTGCTCAATGTTTGAATAAAAACACCGACTGATGAGCTGATACTGAAAGTTGAGAAGGAATTTAACAAAAATTTAATTGCCATGAACAAAAGAGACGAGATAAAAGATCAGTTATAATCAAAAGTGAGGTCAATAGGGGTGCAACTCGGTAGTTTGTACATTCAGCTACGATATACAAAGCTGAGGTGACCCTTAGACCAGTTCGTTCACTTCCGGGCTGCTCGTACGAGAATTTCAGCAAAATGCTTGTGTATTTTTTTGACAAAATTGGTGGAGCCAATATGGAAACTAACACTAAAGATGCCAGAGAACTATTTGAAATACTGCCCTAGATCCGGAGGAAACTATACAATCTCTTGACGTGAAAAACTTATACACAAATCTTCCCCTGAAGAAGCAATTTAAATTGCTTTAAACAACTCCTTTGGTAAAATGGAGATCAGCAGGGTATATTTCAAGAGTAACGATTTATGGTATGATCAAGTTGATAGTCTTGCAATGAGCGCTTACCCCGCTGTAATTTTTTAACATGATGGTTTAGAACCAGAGTGTTTGTGAATTTTTGTATATAAGATTTGTGATTTATTGTTTTATCATCATTTAGATAGTTTATTTTTGAAAATCCTGACGATGCACTTTGTTGCGAAAATGTTTGAAATTTACTTTTTATCAAAAATTCTATCAAGATTTTTGCGGATTTTGGCCGTCAAATTATTTACTTGAATACTTGTTTTCTATGATTTTCCAGGGTTGCCTCGTTTCTAGCCTAATTCTCGGTAAAGGTTGGTTTTCCAAGATAAAAGGTTTTCTCAGTTGTTTCATTATCAACTGACGTTTTTGAAACCGAATTTTTTCCCGCATGTGAAGGCGTTTGCTTAAGTGTCACGGTTTAATATTGCTTTTGTCAAACGTTTTTTTTTATAAGCTTTTGACAAACTAGATCAGTTGTGATATCCATATATCTTAGGAAGGTAACTTTCATTTTTCTAAATAATGACTTTCGTTTACATTTTTCAGCTAGCCTGAAAATGATGTGTTTGTGCGGTTTCGTGAATGGTGCGAAGCTCAGCTTTGTCTCTGTTTGAACTTTGAACTACTCCTTGAAACGTTATGAATACTGATGCTGCATTATTGTTCAACATTTAATTTTTGTTAATGAACGATGTAATCTTTTACCGGCTACAAAGTGATTTCTTTTGAGTCAGATAAAAATTTGCCTTTCCGTCCAGTATTTTTTTTTCATTTTTTTTAGGGTAAAAGGAGTAAAAAGAGGGCTTACTAGCGTCTTAGACTTTTGACTGTAAGAATTCCAAAATGTTAAAATTGAAGCTTAAGAGGTTAAATCCTAAAGTGGTTTGCACATTGCTCTAGCTTTGGCACTGATTTTCCAGTAGAGAAAGCGGCAAAAACCAAAAACGAGAGTTCGTTTCATCGCTGCTATTATGATTTGAATCTGGCGATGCAGGATGGCATTAAACAGAAACCCAGAGCAGGTTGTTTTTTTAAGCAGAGAATCCCCCTGGGAATACAGGTTGCAAGCGCTGCCAGTGTACTCGGCACCAGGGATGTTCAAAAATTAATTGCAATTAATTTTTTGAGGTTTTTCCAACGCAATCAATTAATTGTAATGGGGATTTTCTATTAATCATTTATTGCAATTAATTGCAGTTAATGGGTTTTCTCAAATAAAACATATTTTCAAGAAAACAAGTTAGTATTCTGAGTTTTGAGGATGATTTAAAACAAATTTCCGTGTCTTTTTGTCCCATTGTCGGCGGTTGTACTTGAGGAATAACCGACATTCCAAGTTTGCCGGCAAAAGTCGATGCCATTAACACACTGGAAGAATATCCAGGCTACATTAGGCCTACAATACTGTTATAACACGTGTTATAAACAGGTGTTATTATTGCCAATTAGTTGCTTGCTTTACCCTCAATTGATGGGTTAGCAAAATACCGCATTCAATTAATTGCAATTAATTTTTCCCGCCATTAATTTTTGAACACCCCTGCTCGGCCTTATTAATGATAAACCTACTTTCGAAGGACTATCTTTACTTTGTAGAGCTAAAGGAACGAACGCGCAGCTTAATATAAGTATCTGATAGACCCGTAGCCTCACATCAGGTCAATCTCTACGAGTTTATTCTACGTAGTTGTTAGTTTTCTCAATCTGATTGGCTTGATTCCTAGCCATCTGACTACTTTTATTCACGTTATACTTTACTTTTCCCTAATGTGTAAAATTCCAGTGGTCTTTTGACTGGGTGAAATGATGAAGGACCAGTTAAGTAACTTCGCGATGACATTAAAGTTTACTGTTGCATTCTTTTGAATTTTCTACGAGAAATTTCAAATGTTTTTGAATATCTTGTGGGCTGGAAAAAGGGTTTCAATTATTTTTTATGAAAGTATTTCTTTGTCACTTAATTTCAGCATTACGTGTTGACTTATCGCGAACCCCAGCAAAATTTGAAAGTCTTTCGCAGTTTAATTTTGGATACTCTATCATCATGGCGCAGTTGATTTCGCCGACTTACAACATCGCCATCTCCGTGGTATGAAGCGTACTTTTTTGTGTATTCCGAGGAAGTGATTTCGCTACTTTCTTTACTTTCCAAAGTTATTGTGGGAGAATCCACTTTCAGAGATTCTCCAAATAAGGTCATATTATCTTTCACCGGCATGTCTGAGAAATCGAAATTAGGCCCCTCTCTGTCTCCATACTGGGCAACTCCAACAGTATAGTCGCGCATTTTGTTGTACTCATTTTCAGTACTAGTCGATGAGCTATCTGCAGGCTCCGTTGAACTCGAGCTAGGCGCGGATGTACTTGAACTACTGCTACTACTGGCATCCAGTCTTGATTTCATGACGTTGTTTGTCGATCCCGATGCAGCTGCAGGGTTGTTCTGCTCATCACTGTCTGTTACACTTGAGAAATTGGACGATGATTCAGCAGAGGATGTTCCAGAAGAAGAAGATGAACTTGAGCCGTCTGAGCTCCCGACTACGTTTTTGGTACTTGCGCTTCCAGCATCTTCGCCCGATGGTGCTTTCTGATAGCTTGATGACACGCCGCTTTTTGACGCGCTGCTGCCGCTGGTTCCAGAGGAAGATGAAGAAGAACCCAGACTGGTACTACCTGTAGAGCCTGATGAAACACTGCTTTTGTTTTCACTGCTTGCGCCAGTTCCAGCGCTTGCTTCGGAAAGTTTCAATTGGTCCCCACCACTTTCAGCTGTTGTTGACTCTCCGGTAGCTCCTCCGAATGGGTCGCTGCCACCAGATGAGGAAGAAGAGTCAGAAACTTTGGATCCGACTGGTCCTGAACCTGTCGAAGACTTGGTGTTGCTGCTATTTGAAGACCCAGCTTTGCCTGCGGATGCTGATGAAGCCGTAGCCTCACTATCCGTGTTACCTGTCGCTGTTGATCCTATGTTCAAAGAACTGCCGGAAGATTTCTTGCCAGCGATCATTGCTCCTGATTTGTCAGACCCACCGCTCTTTGTGCTGTCGGGCTTCGATGCTTGAGAGGTATTATCGTCTGCCACTCCAACTCCTGATTTTGCCGATGATGTTTCTGCGCTGCTCATTTTCGAGCCAATCGCTCCACCTGTTGCCTCACTAGCTGCATCGGATTCTTTTTCTGATTTTGGCCCGGAAATGTTGGTGCTTTTGGTTCCTCCAGACGAAGAACTAGCCTGTGTTCCAGTTAGTTTAGAATTAAGCTCAGATGTATCTGAACTTGTTTCGCTACTGCTATCTTCGCTAGCTGATGATGCACCTGATGACCCAATATCCTGAGTTTTGCTATCACCACTCTGCATTTTGCTTTGGCTTTCGGCAGCCGATGTGCCAGCACTCGAGGTTCCTGTGGAAGTTCCACTGCTTGTACCAGTGCTAGTACCACTAGAGCTATCTGTAGCAGTGCTACTACCTGAAAAAAAAACTAAATTTCATAGGATAGTAGATGTGATAATGAGTATTTATTTGAAGAATCTCGAGCCTGGCTTGCTTGAAGAAGCCTTGCTTGTTTCGTCGCCCTTGGATGACGTCGCTTTTGATGCTTCACTTGTTGCTTCTAGAATAAAACTCAAAGTTTATTTCAAATCTCATTGAATTTCCTTGAGTTGTAGTAGAAAAATTCCCTCACTTGACGAAGATGCACTTTTCTTGCTACCGCTCTTTTTAGACATGCCACCACCCGAAGATTTTCCAGTTGATACTGACCCTTCTGCTGTGCTAGCTTTACTCGAGACTTTTTGAGAACCTTCCCCTGAATTGACGCTTCCGCCGCCGGCTGATTTAGAAGAGCTCTTTGAAGACTTAGCATCACCAGTAGAACCGACGGTTCCTCTGGTAGATGAACTACTTGACTTCCGTCTACTTTTTGTTGCAGAGCCAGAACTACTGGTTACGGCGGATCCTCCCGCGAGTGTTTTAGTTGCTGAGCCCATGGTTCCTCGAGAAGATGCGGCACTGGAGCTTTTTCGTCTTGACTTTTTGTCCAAGTCGCGAAATGCTTGGCCGTGGAATTTATGACTGATTAACATGTCCATTTCATCGTGGAAAAGTTTAGTTGGGTTGTTGTCCTGAAACTGCGTCGTAGCATTGGGGTTTCGGTTGAATTCAGTGCACATGTGTGGCTCGCATTGACGTCTACTCTGCATAATTTCGTTCGGCTTTAAGACCACGTCGTTCTTTTTGCTAAAACGATTTTTGGCGGTTTTTCGAAATTCAGTTGTTGCATTGTTTTCATAATTATTTCTCAAGCAACGCTCTACATTTATTCAACCAGATTTCCTCTTTTATTGCCCAGTTTTTTTTTTTTTTCATTTCACTTGCAAGACCAAGTGATTCGTAATTGGAACCAGACTTTGGCTCTTTTCCAGTTTTCCACCACCTCGTAAAATACAAAATAAAGCCATTCGAAAATTGTTCACATGGCGCATATCAGAAATATTGTAAAAGTTTGTTCACGCTGACACGTTTCAATGCAGTTTAAAACATAAAAAGTCATTTTAAAAAGACTTTCATATATAGAATTTCAGAAGAAATCAAAGGGGGGAGCTGGAAAAGAGCCCTAGGTTTTTTCCTTTTCTTTCCCATTATAGCCCCCCGGCCTAGTAACAAAATACTTAACCCCTCTGCACTGATTTTTCTATTTTGGTTTTAACCACTCCCCTAACCTTTCGATTTCAATTTTGAAAAACTCTTTAACGTTTGCCTAACGCTATAATGATTCCTGGCATCGTGATCAAAGGAACAATTGTGAACATATTTGTTCTTCATAACTTATGCTGTAACAGCACGTACTTAGCCATAATACTTCGTAAAACAAGAGCTTTTTGTCTCACCCGATAAATCTAGCAGGTCTGTTGTCCGGGAGTAGAGACCTCTCGTGGTACAACAGTCTGTTCTTGGACTTCGGATTCGGCGGCAGATGGGTGACCACTCTGTCGGGCTTCCAGGGGTCTGGCTCGGGTGGCGGAAACAGGAACCCTTTGATGTTGTCTTCAGGGCGTCTGAAGGACGTGGCTCGAATAGTTGTCTAAAATATCATTTGGTCACGGCTGATTTAGTCCCCCTTCCTCGTGGATTCGACTCCATCCCCACCCAAAGGGTCCACCTTTGGTACTATTTTACGACATCAATTTCAGCCTACCGACCCTTAAAACCTTTAATGGAGCTCCAAAGCATACGGATTTCGAGTGGAAGCGCGCGTCGAAAATGCATTTTTTTGGTAAGCTCAATCGGCCCTTTTTCAGTTCCCCCTTTGATTTTCTCTGAAATTCGATATTTGAAAGTCTATTTAAAACGAATTTATTTGTTAGAAACTGAATTAAAATGTGTCAGCGTGAACAGGTGAACAAATTTTTACAACATTTCTTACATGCAAAATGCCGTTTAATCAATTTTTGAGCAATTTTGTTTTGTAATTTTACGAGGGGGTGGGAAACTGGAAAAGAGCCACTCAATCAAAAACGGCATTTTTGCCCTGATTTTCTTATTAAATGGGCCTTGGTGCAAAAAAAATTTTGACAAAAGGGGTCTTCATATTGTTTTGGTTTGCCTCTGAAAATCGGGGCAATCTTTTTTAAATTTCAAACCGAAAAAACTCAAGATCCTCACTCAAGATTTCACTCACAGGTGGTTGACTGCATGAGCGGGCTGTCTCAATGCCCCCAGGTGCTCGTGCAAATTTCTCTGAAATCCAAAAAAAGTCCATTTAAATTACGAACATAAGTCATGGCGAGGAATGTATTCATCTCGTCGGTTTTATTTTTAATTCTTAATGTAGCAAACTCTGTTTTGACGCCGTTGATTTGCAAAGCCTGTGGTCTTATCATCATCCAAATTAAGGTTGCGTGCAAGTTAAGATATGCTGAACTAGAAATTCAACGCTAGAACTGGTAACCTTGTGATTCTGACATCACTCTGGAGGTCCTGCCGGAGTCTGAGAATGTCTTCTGGAACACGTTGCTCCACGTAGTGTTGAAACTGGCATCGTACTGTGTCGAATACGGCCTGGCAGGTGCCGCTTCCCTCGCCGTGAATGCCCTCCGCTTACTACGTGTCGTAGTTGTATCAGGGTTTTTGAATGCTATCGGGTACTTGGTCGTCGACATTTTGGTCACCAATTTCAGTGACTGATGGAGTTACGAAGAATAATTTTGATCTCGCAAGTCTAGTTAATCAGATCATATTTTAAATGCGCACGTGTTTAATTCTTATCGGAATCACAGAGTTTTGCGACGTTGATTTTCGATACAAGGAGGCATCGTGGTTTCTCGGATTCCATTCCTTAGTGCTTTGATTTCCTGTGCGCGTTTGAAATTGTGCCCTGCTAGCTCAGTCGGTAGAGCGTTGGACTTTTAATCCAACGGTCAAGGGTTCGAGTCCCTTGTGGGGCGAATATTTTCGATGTGTAGAAAATATTTGTTTTGAAATCTTTTTTATCACACCACCTGTAAGTTTTTGCCATCTTATGTGTGTAAAACCCCCAACAGTCGCAGGTGAAACAGTCGAGGAAAGTAAAAAGAGTCGATATGTGTGATCGCTTTTTCATTTCAGATCCGTTTAGAATGAGCAGCAACTTTCCGAAACTGATAACGAAACCAGCCAGAGTTCGGATCAAACTAGCAGATCAGAAGATACGAGAGCAGATATCATCGCCAGTGGTGATCAAGGGTTCCAATCTTCATTTTTACCACAGGTTAAACCAGACGTATAATAAGTTCAAACCTCTCAGACTCATCAGTGCCGCTTGGCACAAAAACACTAAAAATGGGGACTACTTCTCTATCTTACCACATAGGCCCAACAAGTCTACTCCTCGGAAACTAAATAGTTTTGAAACATTCGGTCTAAGTGCGAAAGTGATCTCAGCTCTGTTACGAAATTCCTTTCGATGGCCAACTGAAATTCAGCAGTTGAGTTTTCCAGCTATCTTGAAACGGGAGAGACATGCCGCCATATTTGCTTCAACTGGATCTGGCAAAACACTGGCTTATCTGACACCGATTATGCAATCAATTGTTGATCTCTCAGATTCGGAAACATTAAAAAAGCCCAGAAATCCGATTTGTGTCATACTTGTACCCACCAATGAGTTATGTAATCAAGTTCACGACCTCTGTTTAAAGTTCAGCGACCTTTTTAACTCGGCACATGTACATTCAGAAATGACACCCTTGGAAGTAATTCGAGTTAAAGAAGTTGTTAACGAAGTTGTAGTAGGAACTCCCGAGGGCCTGACTAATGTTGTCAAAAAAGGGTTAATCAAGTTCAACCAATGCAGGTTTTTAGTGATTGACGAAAGTGACTCTTTACTCGATAACAGTTTCTACCCTACAATACAACAAATTCTGTCTCAACTAGTTTTAAATGATACTAACCATGCTATGCTGTGCAAATTGGTGTTTTGTGGAGCCACTTTGCCAAAAAACTTGGACGATATTTTGGAGAGCTACACGGGGTCTAATGGCGAACACTTACAAATGGTTCAGGGATCTTCAGTTGAATGTGTTATGGGTCATGTTAAGCACGATTTCTATCGTCTGGCGCCTTCGAAAGTTTTATTAGCTATCCGATCGCTGCTGCATGAGCTGGTGCGTAAACCAGGCAATATATTAATATTCTGCAATTCGTCATCTTCAGTCAGAAAACTGTCTTTTTTCCTGCAGAATGAAGGATTCAAACACGAAGCGGTGTACGGAGATGTTGATAAGCACTATCGTAAAAATGTGATGAATTTGCTGCGAGATGGCTTTGTCAAGGTGCTCATTTCCACTGATGTCATATCGAGGGGCTTCGATACAAGCAATGTGAGCTATGTCATTAACTACGACTGTCCCTACCACATGTCAGATTACGTGCACAGGGCAGGTAAGCGAATAGAGGCGAACATAGAAAGCAGACAAAATGAACATGATATGGATTTCAGATTGAACTTGACTAATAATACAGTGCTTTGATGGCAATTGACATCAATCAATGAGAAATGAAGATATTATGTTGAAGTTTTTCTCCCGAGCACTCAAATGAATGGGAAGGAGCCATGGTCTTTGGTTGTTTTAAGTTTTATACGATAATTCAAGAGTCTCAAATCAGTCAAAGCAAGCTCGTAGGTTTTTTTTATAAGCCCCCGTCCTGCTCAGTGCAGGACCAACCATGGGGGAGGGCGAGATGTCATCCATTTCGCTGCAACCGGTGGAGGTGGATGACGCTGGGACCCCTCCAGCCGTGACCGAAGCGGGATTCGAACGCATGACCCTCGTGTTGAGAGACATGTTCCTAACCCACTCGACCACGTGGTCACAAGCTCGTATGTGGTCGAGTGTGGTATTTTGATGCATGAAACATATTTTTTCATTAAATATCATCAGCTTTTTTAAATGTCAATGAATATAATGAAAAAATTTTTCACATGCTTAGGTCATGTGATTGCGCACGCTCAAGTTTTTTGCAGTTTGATTTTGGATTTCTTTTAAGGCTCGTTTTTCCGACCATTGAAAATGGGGAGGAACTTTGTATTCGGGTGTGTTATAGTTTTTCTTTTTGTTTTCCACGCAAAATCAGGTAACACAAATAATCATCGGACTGGGTTGAGTGATATATCATTTTGAAGCCTTTTCATTCGTGATTCGAACCATTTCAAAAAATGCCCAACATGTTTTTCTAGTGTCGAGAAAAAACGGTCTTATTTGTACTTAGTTTTACTCCAGTAACGCTAAAGTGTTTTAGCGTTTTTTTTTTGGAATCGAAATCTTCAAAAATTCAAAAAGCTTGAAAATTTTTTGAAAATTATTATTTTTTTGATTTTCGTTTTTATTAATTTTTACTACAAAAATTGTTTTTCATTTTGCTTGTTTTACTATTTTCAAGAGTCTCAAATCTGTCAAAGCAAGCTCGTCACTGTCGAATATACCAAATCCCCAGTTTTTGTTCAGCTCCTTTCATCACACCACGCCGAAAAAAAAACGACAATAATTTGAAAAAACTTTTTTGGTATTTGTTTAAGACTATGGTCGGAACATTCTGTGCTACTTGTGAAATAACCGGCTATCCTTGTTTCAATTGAATATGTTGAATGGAAAGCAATTTCCGCTGCTCAAAAACAAATGGAATGACTGAAATTTATAGCTAGATTTTAAGGCTACGATTTTCCAATGGAATAAAACATTCAATCATATAACCATTCAAAGAGCATAAGGATCATTTATCTAATGGTTCCGACCGTTGAAAAAGGGGAAGAACTTTGTATTCGGATGTGTTTTAGTTTTTTTGTTTTCGAAGAAAAATAAGGTACCACAAATAATCATCGAACTGGGTTGAGTGATATATCATAATAAAGCCTTTGTATTCATGGTTTGAACCACATTTAAAAATTGCCCAAAATTTTTTTTCTAGTGTTTAGAAAAACCGGTTCGAAATTTTTGATTTTTCGTCTAATTTTGAGCAAGTGAGCAGGCTTACATCAGCTTATTTATGCTTAATTTAAGCCTTGAAAATTGTTTTGCAGGTCGTGTGGGTCGCATTGGACAGTCGAGTGGGGGCAGAGTGATCACGTATGTGTCTAGACCATACCACGCAGAAGTGGTGAGAGAGATCGAGAAGTCCGTGAGATTGCACAGACCCCTAATGGGAGTGGACTCCAACATCAAGCAGCACTTCAGAAACCACTCTGAGATCAGAAGGGCAGAGCAGTACCAGCAGATGGTCGAGGCCGAAGAGAAAGCACACTCAAAGGTCACGAGGAAGTCCGCAAAACCTTATGCCGTCACATGATTACAAAACTTGAACCACATTTGATTTGAAGTGAACTTGAACTTGAAATTTGAGCCGAATTTAAATTTTTTCATTAACTGATCACAATGGCCCTTTCGACAGGCCTACTTTCATGTGTGGCGCTTAGCATGCGGCTCTTAGCGCTATTAGAATTGAGTTTGTTTTCTCACCTTAGTAACTAAAACTCGGATCTAATTAACAATCGCTCTCCCTGTGGTATCGAAGGAATTACCACGCCTATGCGAATTATTTTTTTGATTTTTATAAAACGGTTTCACAAAAAAATGATTGATTTGTTTTTCAAAATCAGCCCCCCCCCAAACACGCTTATAGCGTTTGCTGTAACAAAATTTAAGCCTCGTTGACTTGTTACACTTGCGATTACGAAAGTTGAAACCGGGAACTATGCTTTCTTTCCCGTAAACAACTTTTCGTACAAACTTTCAGCTTGCTTGATTATTAAACCATAACTCCGTGGCTTTTTCTCACTTGTCCTGAAATCGGGAACTATGCTTTTTTTTCCCGTAAACAACTTTTCGTACAAACTTTCAACTTGCTTCATTATTAAACCATAACACCGTGGCTTTTTCTCACTTGGCCTAGAAGTCGCTTTTGAATCCTTAGGTTTGGTGTTCGAGTCTCGGCCGAACCGAATGTCTTAATCTTTTCTGTATATATGCAATTGAAAAAAAATTACAATAACATTGAATTGTCGGATTTTTGTTTGTCTGCTCAAGTTTCGTCGCTTAGTTGTCACATTACAAATTTTGCATCTGCTTTAAGCAACTTTCATTGCATTTGTGAATGCAAGTGTTTTTTTTTGTAGTTTCCGGTTGTGGGACTTGAAATTTTTTGAATTTTTTGAAATATTGTCTGCAAAAAGATAGTCAGCTTAGTTGCCACCTCACGGATTTTTGTGTGCTGTAAGCAATTTTTATTCTAAATGCAAGTGCAAATGTTGTTCATTGTAGTTTCATGTGGGACTTAAATGTTTAACAATTTTTTTTTATCAAATCATATTTTTCCGGCTACACCGGGGTCTGCTCAAAAGTTGTCCATTTTGTTTCCTCCTTGTAAGTTTTGTTCCGTTGCTAGATTAAAATTCAGTTGCCTGGCATTTTTGCATAGAATGAACTTCTGTCAAGGCATACCAACAACAAAATTTGCTAGAAGTAATTTTTTTTTCAACTTTCTTCATTTTTTGAATAGACTTCTACTGTTTTTTTTTAATGTTTTTGTTGTATCCCAAATGGTCCGAAGCTCAGCTTCGACTTTTTGCGAAAAAAAAATTAAACTTGCAATCAAATCGTTTGTGTTTGTGAAGTGTAGCTCTCTTTTTTTGAAAGTCGGAACAGCAAAACTGCTTGTGCCAGAGTGAGCCTATGAAAAATCCGAATGCCCTTTAAAAACTACGAAATATTTATTTGATTTATAGAAACGGTTTCACAAAAAATGATTGATTTCTTTTTGAAAATCAGACCCCCCTACACGCTATTTAAGGTGCAAAATTACAAAGATGACAAATTTATGGTATCTTAGAGTTTTCATCATTACAACTAGTATTCTTCTATTCGGGACGGTTTGGAAGCTGGATGAAATAGACGCTTTAAAAGCGTTATTAAATAGCGTTATTAAAGCTGGATGATTAAATAGACGCGTTAATAGCTCGAAATAAATCGTGCGTTATCTCAAACTTTCCAAACTGGCTTCTCTCAAAGCTTCATTACTTAGCAGATCACAGATAGTTTTGTATGTATTAGAATACGTTATAGATTCCGGTCTTCCATGCTTTAAAGTAAGATAGGATACAGAGGCTACACAGATTATATAAAGACCAGGAATTATATAAACAGTGTAAAATGAAGCCATCATAGCATGTTTTTGGATTCATGGTAATTCAATTCACTGAAACTCAAAAAAAGAAGAAAAAAATCACATTGTTGCTAAATGTTCACCATTGACTTATCATAAATTCGAAAAAGATGGTATGATGTTTTCATTTTATTTACACGAAAAAAATCTTGATATTTACCAATTAGATAAAACGCACCAAAATTTTTTCAAAAAACAAATTCTCTGACAATTTGAAACCTTACCATTACCTAAATAATGCATTGTAGACTCCATGCCCTATCTTAAGAAATAGCATTGAAGACCGGAAGCTTATAATATATCTTGATTCATGGGGTCTTTCAAGCATCCCCCTCCCTATGATCAGCTCCAATGTCTACTACTAACCGCTGAAAATTCTGATAGCCACACAAAAAGATTGATTTCGCTTTGGTGCTATTGATTGTCTCGCGTTGAAAGGGGAATTTTTTTTCTATTGAGACACTGAAGTATTCAATAAGTTGTTGCCGTCGAAAATCAAAAAGTTCCAACTAGTTTGAAAAAAAAACTCTGTCTGAAACATGTTTTTATGACTTTTCGAACCTTAAAACATCAAACTGGGAGATGAGAGGATCTTCTTTTTTATGGGTTTCCCGGTTAATTTTCCAACACGTGCAGCAGTGAAGTTTCAAGCTCAAAAAAATCAGGATGGCTTTCAAATGGTTAAAGGTAATCATAGAAGGGTTGAATTTACTTGAATTTTATGCACGCTTTTGTTTACACTTCAATATGGATCCTTGATTTGTGTAACTAAAAAAGTTTATTTTAATTTAGCCGACCATTACGTGGTTGTGTCTGGAATGATTAAGAAAAAACTATTTGGAGCAGATTCAGATTGGGGCGCGGGAGCACTCTAATACATTCACGTGTGAATCGGCGGGCTATTCTAAAAAAGCCCCATATGACAATTTCGATTTTGACAATTTCGGTAGCATGTTAATTGAGTCTCCAAAAAAAAAATCAAAATCAAACTTTAAACAAGGTTAGCCGAATGCTGCGCAAGTAGCGCAGAAAGTTCCGAGCATAGTTCCGAGCATTTAGAAACGTTTTTTCAAAGTAGTGTCGTTTTTCCAGCGTGATGTGACAAAAAAATCTCAACAAAAAAAAACAGAATGTTGACATATTTGACCTTCATAATAAAAAAGGGGAGTTGAAAAATAGTTTTTGCTGAAAATTGACTGAAAAGAAGCGAAATTTGTAAAAAAAAAAATTAAGAAAATTTGCAATTTTTTTCCAATTTTTTTCCCAGAAATTATTTTCAATTTTAGAGGTTCAAAAAGCGCTAGAAAAACTGAAAAAATTAATTTTACTCGAGTGAAACTAAGTTTTTACGGCTCAAATTGACCATAAAAAAGCTATTGTAAGCCTGTACGCTTACCTTATCAGTTTGAAATTAGATCAAAAATTATAAACCGGCTTCCTCAACACAGAGAAATGTTTTCAAAATAAAAGAGCTTTAATAATCAAATGATTTTTGTGGTACCTGATTTTGCGCAAAAAAAAAACAAAAATAAATACTTCAAAATACCTGGTCAGAACAATTACTTCAAACAACTTACTGTACAACCATAGTCATAAATTTTACTTTTTTTGTGATACAGTTCTTTGATAATGTTTTAAAAAAATCTTTGATAATTGAGACGGGTTGATATTTTGTTTAAAAATCCAGCTCAATTAAAAAGAAAAATGAAAAGTTCGAGCCTCAGAAAAAAAAACATTTATGACAGTAATTAGAAAGAACTGATGATGATTGGCGCTGTCAGTTAACTCGCTAATTTCGCTAAACAACAATTCTTAATATTAATAAGATTGATTGATGTCATCAAATTTTATCAACAAAAGTCATTTGATCCTATAATTCAAACATGGTACTGCTAATTTTTTCTGACCACTAGCTGTAACCGTTTGAGACCGCGTTGAAATTAAAACTTGAAATACTTCGATAACAAATTCTGGTTAGTTTTTTAGAAAATCACCAACCACTGAAATTTAAAGTTTTAGTTGTGCTCAAACGTCTGCAAAAATTTCATTATTCCTAGAAATGTTTATGGTTCATCTTTTAAATTGCTGGGAAAAATAGATTAAACACCTTTGAAACTCAAGATGTTCATTACCTTTTAAAACCAAGTTTCTGACATGGAAAACAAACTTTGTGTAAGGCCTCATTGTGTTCGTCTAGAGTAATCTAGAGTTTTGTGAAGCAACTGATTCGCAAAAAAAGCTCTCCGAATAAATTGTTTTCTGATCAAATAATTTTTAAATTATACTTTTGAATTTTTAGTAAGCTGGAAACATGTCAATTGTTTTTCAGCTATGGTACAGAGCAGTTACTCAGTTGACCTAGATTTAGTTCTTGTTCATGAAAACTTAATTGTTTGCCTCCTCGCTCTCGCTCCTAACTCAATCCACTTCCCCACCTCCCGGTAAATCAATATTTTGACAAAAAATTATATATATTTTTTTGAAATAAAGTTTAAAAAACGGAGTCGTCAGTTCATCAAAAGATTTATCCAAGAGATGATTTCGGTCACTCTGGTTTTTTTGGAGCACTCTTAAATGGTTATGAAGATGAGCAAAAATCAATAGAAGTGATTTTCGAAAGAACTATTGTGATTTAAAAACATCAGAGAGTTGCGTTAATTATTCTAGAATTACGGTAAAGCTTACGTCAAAATAGTTCACTGACACCAATTGTCCAAATCTCTCCGGAAGGCAAAGAAAAAATTTAATATGTTAATCAGAAACAGTATTTTTTTTTACAATGCACGCAATAATGATGTTTTACCGTTAATTTGATCTCTGAAGCTAGCTACCACTAAAAATTGAATATCATAAACTTTTTTCTTAATAAGGAACTTTCCTTTTTAAATTTTTCCATTTTGATCTGTTAGGTTTCTTACCAAATAAATTGCCAGAGAAGTTTCGGAACATTAGTACGGAACGTTTTGAAGATCATGTTAAGGAAAACTTTTTTAAAAAGACCCGGACATTGTCAGCAAAAAAATTCAGAACAACAGCAGAAAACTATAGAGCAAAGTTTGAAAAGTTGTTCACAGACAGCATAAACCTCTTGGTGGGAAAAAGATGAACAAGGTGCTGGATCACATTGAATTTCCGGGACGATTACTTTAAGTGTTGTCAAAGATCCGAAACATCCC